GTAGAATCTGCTTATCTTATCTTTGGAGGTCAGAGGAAAGGCAGGCTGCTTCTCAGCAGAGTTTGTTTCCCTTGACTTCAAAGGTCAAGGTGCTTATCAGCTAAGTTCCCTTTTTCGGGCTCCAAAGTTTGTAGGTCCCTGTTGGGGAGGGGGGGAAGCTGCTGCTGTTTGGAACCCTAACAGTAATTATCTTTGAACTGTTACTGTGTCTTTCTCATCATTAAACCTAATTTTAGTTTAAGCATTATGAACTATAAAATTACTGTGTTCATCTTTTGTTTACATATCTATGAGAATAGGGTTTTTTAACTTAATTTCTAGTAGAGTATGTGGAATTCATGCTGCTTATGATTGACTTATTTTTGACTCATAATTTTTGTAAAAATGCAGGTAGTATGTAAGGACTTAGTTGATTCTGTTTTTCAGCAGGCAGATGAATTATTGGCACTTCAATTCGTAGTGATGTGACATGCACGATGGTAAGAATGCACAGTAACAGTGTATAACTGCTGTCTTGGATTCCTCATTTGGGTCAGCTGGAAGGGACAGGGAACGTGGCACAACATATATAGGAGTTTTCATGGGCCAGACCCAAATCGTTGTTCTCTGGGTAAGAATGTAATTTAGCTGTTCTCCAAGATGAAGCAGATTTTGTTCAACAGCTAGCAGTCTCTGCTATCAGGTCTACATTCAGAATATTTTATATGTTCTAATTTAGGTGATAATTTGATACTGTTTATATAATACAGCATTTAAAATTAGAGTAAATTATTTTCTCTTTTAAACAAGCAGCAGGAAATTTAACAGTTAAATTTCCACTTCTGTTTGCTTTTTGTCATGTGCTCACATGGGTGTATGTACATGTGCAAGTGGATGAAGGTGCATGTGTGGCAGCCAGAGGTCAATATTGGTCTTCTTCCATCACTGTGCATACTAGTTTTTGAGACAGGGTCTCTCACTGAACCTGGAGCTCATCATTTGGCTAAACTGGCTGGCCAGCAAACCTGTTTTCATCTTCCCAGCCCTGCTTGCAGAT